AAGCAAAGAGAAGGCACACAGCACAAGCGCTCACCAACAACTCTTTATTTATAATTGTTCAGCGAACTGGGAGCGCTGTGCCTTCTCTTTGCTTCGTGTCTGTGTTCTTCCCGCGCTCCCAGTTCGCTGAACAATTATAAATTGCCAACTAGCCCATCTTTCCATCCTATTGCAAAAATTTAGGAGTCTTCAATAACTTTTAAGGCTATGCACGTGAATTTTCAAGGACCACATTGTAGTGCTAGAAATCTAATTAACACATATTCAAGGGAGGATACAGACTTGAATCAACTAGAACTCATCAAAAAAGGGTAACATCACTGAAGCAGACGCCATAAACATGGCTTCAATGACATTTTCTGTCTAGACAACTCTCAATAACAGTTTCAGAGTTGCATGTCTAACAAGTTTCTAACTTTTATTCAGGTGGGAAAAACTAAGGAACAGTTATTATACAATGCCTTGTTGCTCTTTGTTAATTTTCATATTTATATCCACTATCTCTTGCTGCTTGGTCTTGGCAGTCTTTCCAAGGCCGTTAGACTTGATGATGCACGTCAGGTTGCTAAGTGTCTCTGCCTTTTCTGCACATAAGTCTGCTGTAGCTGTTAAATCCTTAACAGCAGCTTCTAGTTTGTTCGTTTTGTCGTTTAGTAAGCGTGTAGACCTGCTCCTTAAAGCAACATTTATTATTCTGCTCTTTCTGCTCGTGCCTTTTCCGTGTTTGTAGAAATGCACGGTGTTGATTCTGAATGCATCGATGTTTTCAATTCTTTTGTGATGGGCACATTACACATGCCACCTGCTACATTTAGGGCATCACAAATATTGTGCTGTGAAATGTGCGTCAATGTTTATTAAAAAGGGAAATTCAAGGATTTTCAAGGATATGCGAAAATTCCAGCACTTTCAAGGCTTTGAAAACGAACTTATCAAATTTGAGGGTTTACAAGGATTTCAAGGATGCGCATGAACCTTGATACCCCATTGTAGATAGCTTTTATTGGACTGGGAGGCCTTCCCCCTCTCCAAGCAACCAGTCTTCTTTTTTTTTTTCTACTAAAAAAATACTAGTCATAGGCAGCAAGCACTATAGAGCACTTCTCTCGGTTAGTATTCTTAACTGCTTTATGCGACTGTGCTGCAGTGAAGTTAACAGATATCCTTTATTACAAAGCACAAATGAAACACACACTTTGAGACTTTTCCGATGCTCCTCTGTGGTTTGAGCATCCTTTTACATTCAACGTGATGTTTGACTGCTTATACAAAAACAGTGTCGTGACTTTTTTGGCGTGAATAGTTCCAATGACTGAAGCCACTGCCAACAAGTCAGGAGGAGCATATTTGTATGAAAGCAGTGGAGCATGATAATAATATCTGCAATTTAACGTCTCAAAACCATGATATGATTATGAGGGACGCTGTATTGGAGGGTTCAGAAAGTTCTGATTATCTGATGTTCTTTAACGTGCACCGACATCGCACAGTACTAGAAAAGCAGTGGAGAGCTCGAATAAATCGAATGTGTCGGCAAATGGTAATAGTATGGCATTGTAGTTCTGTATGCGATTCTCAAGGCAATGCTACAAATGTCTGATATAGCTGATAATCATCGATTGGTATGTGGGGTTTTACGTCCCAAAACCATATATGATTATGAGGTGCCGTAGCAGAGGGATGCGGAAATTTTGACCACCTGGGGTTCTTTAACGTGCACCCAAATCTGAGCACACGCACCTACAGCATTTTCGCCTCCATCGAAAATGCAGCCAAATTCGATCCGGCGACCTGCGGGTCAGCAGCCGAGTACCATAACCACTACATCACCGCGGCGGGCCATAGCTAATAATCAATACATCTCCATTTGACAATATTGTCACACAGTCAAGACAGTATTTGGCGCCAATGGCTTTGCAAAACTAAAACGAAAAGAATTGACAATTCAGTGTAGACTAAGTGTGTACTCAATATGTACTTTGATAGGTAAGTACAATTAGAATATTGTCACTTCAAACAGGAGGGATGTAGAAGGGTGCATGTGTTGGAACATGGCACATTCAAAGTTGTGCGAGAAATAGGTTTGTGCGAATATTCGAACGAATAGTTGAGTATTCTCTTCGATTCAAATTTAAATTATCGAATACTTTCAAAGTATTCACAATGAACGAATAGGTGTATATTAATCCGCATGTCACCGCCTCTAAAAGTAGTTTCACTGCAATGTAGGAGTGCTAAGCAGTGAAAACACTTATTGAAAAAATTCGCTTTGCCGTGAAGCCCCCCTTCAAATTTAAAGGGGCCCTGCAACACTTACTGAACATGGTCAGAAAATGCTGCCGATCAGTAGTTGAGGCTACCGAGAACACGCGAAACAAATATTGTAGCACAGCACGCAGCCTCTAATTCACAATAAATGTTTAAAGCTAAATATTGCTTTCTTTCCTCGGCAAATGTCACCATAAGCTCAGAAATCACTCGTCACAGCCAAGAAGGAATATACGGCTATGGTCATAGGTATTGGCCGATTTGAGCATGGCACACTCGTCATTACCAAGGCTGCCGCTTGTCCACGAATACATGCGCGACCGCACTGAAAAGCCGTGTATTCGAAGAAAAAAAAGTGCTCAAGTTCACGAGGTGCGTGTGAAGTATTTTCTTTCGCCGTGCCATTCCTCCCTGCTTTGCTTCCAACTATTTCGTCGGGACGAGAAGAGAGAATGCAGTTGCAGCATGCAACAAATTTTTGGAACTCTGCTTGTACAGGAATGATTCTAGAAACTTTGCAGCGGTAAATTCAAATTCAAATTCCATTCAAATTCTATTCGAAATTATTCGATCAAGATCACTATTCGCTTCGAACCGAAAATTCACTATTCGCAGAAGCCTAGCGAGAACTACATAGTCTAAATATCCACAGCACTTGCTTTTTTCTTAATGCTGTCTTGTAAACTGTCACTTTATGACTGAGGCTATGGTGAGCTTCTTTAATATTAGATATGAATGAGGAGTATCTACAAGTTGAAATTTGCCGCAACCACTACCTCATAAACCGCTGAAGCTTAGGTAAAGGAACTAGCTTGCGCAGGCTCATCGCGTAAAAGCAAGTGAAGACATCGAACAGGTCTGTTTAATTCACCTGCAACACTCTGAACAAATTTTGCATTGGCGCACGACAAGTTCAGAAACTGTGCAGCTTCAATTCAGAGGCTCTGGCACAATACAATGTCAGAAACGAATACGTAGTTAGGTGCTCACAAATTGAAGGCCTTCTGTTGTGCATGCTTGGTGTGCTGCTCTGTCCACAAGAGCTACCTATAGAGACAACTTGGCTCATGTGTTGCCGTTATGTTGCATATATGCAGCATTTGCGTTAAAGTGGGCTTCAAACAATGCATGCGTTCATGTACTGCATTGCTGCAATTCTTCACCAATACCGGGTAATTAAGACTACGCGACTTCATAAATTGTTTGCCGGTTATAAGTGGTAGCAAGAGCGTAGCTTTTGTAATCCGTATGTGCCATACACATAACGGCATCAAATACAGTACACTTTTTAGGCAAAGACACTTGAGACACAACCGACCAGACAAAGTAGCAATGTCGCACGTCAGTTGGTCCATTAACAGCACTGGATATCCATCGACGGGCGATAGAACCTCATGAAAGAAGAGCCTTCCTGTAACAACCAGGTGCTTCACGGGAAATCTCAATTTCAGTAGTTACCGAACACAGCTATGCACACCTAGCAACTAAAGCTGGAAATGCATTCCGCAATCATCACACGAGAATGTGCGAGTGTGGAATCCTTAGCCTGGTCAGCTAAAGAAAAAAAGGTATTTAGAATCTACACTTTGACATTGGCAGGTGGATATTGTCGTAGTCAGTGAAGACACGGGCATGAGCTGTGCTGTATCTTTACACGATGGTTTCTAGGTTTCATCGATCTACTGTTATTGTACAAACAGCATGTGTGATCGCAAATAAAACATTAGTTGCAAGTTAGCACTTTGTGCGTCTCTCTTTTGTGTCCTTGTCGTGGCGCGCTATAGCCATATAATGATGAACCTCAACCAGACTAGTCCTGCACCGTGACTAAGCAAAAAAAGCGGCATGTGGTTGATGTCGCCACTGTTGCTCAGCTCAACAGTTTTTATAGCAACAGTACATAAAACGTTTTTCGATCTTGAAGTTATGTGATCCCGCCAATAGGTAACCACTGACATCGCCACGCCAACAGCTATGTGTCGCTACTTTATCTGGTCGAATGCACCTCGCAAGTAAGCCGAGGAGTGTGCTCACCAAAACAGTGCATGTCTTACCAGTGGTGCTAACTTGGTGAAAAAGTCACTAATTTAGCATCTTTTCAGTCGTGCTAGCGACGATTCTCTCTCTTTCAAGTGTTGGCGACTTTTTTGAGGACTTTCAAAATTTTGGGTAGAGTGTTACAAAACAGAGATAGAAAATTAGGAAACTGTGACAATAGAAGAATGCTCAGAAGAAGCTTCAATAGGATAAAGCATACGGAATCAGGCTGCTTGTGACGCTCAGCGATTCACAGTTGCGTAGTTCGGAGGTAGCAGCTCAGTCCAACTTCATTCGTCGCATGAGCAATTGATTTCAAACATCGTTGAAATAAAAAGCAATCTCTTCACGTGCCTTATCAAAACATTTTCACGTGCTTTATCAAATGAAAAATTAAATACTCAAGAAAAAATCATCATCCTCATCATTTAGCGACATTTGGCTAAAACTGCCGACTTTTCGGAAGCGTCCTGATGACTTTGCCAAAAAAAGTTAAACCACTGTGTCTTACACCATGGTCCACATTCTACTCATGTTGCTGCAGCCTTTATCAGCTTCTCTGAGGTATCAACACAGGTCATTTGCAGTACGTCCAGGCAATTTGCAAGGTGTAAATGAAGGGAAAAGTAAAATAAGTCAAGTGCTTCCAAGCGCACATACCAAGAAACATGCTTTCAAAGAACACCAAACAAATATTTCTTTCTGAAAAATTTTAATATGATACACTTTTTTTCTTTCTTTAACAAGGCGCAGAAATATGGCTTTCTCCACGTCTAGCATCGGACAGCGATGGGAAACGTGATGCATGCCTCGGCAAGGGACAGGTCAAGCTTCAATTTCACAGCAATTTGTTAACTGTACATATCGTTTACCCCACAACAAAAACAGAGGGCACAGCAATTCGCACATTTCACACACGATGCACATAGACACCTGATACTTAATTGCTTTTTATTTATATATAATGAAATTAACTAGAAAGGGACAAAAGCTAACCATGTACACCAAAAGACTGTTGATGAGATAAAAAATAACCTCGTCTAGCATAAATCTTGAACGTTTTCACTCACCCCACAAAGAATGCCACTGCTATTGCAGTGGTATAGAATTAAAATAACCCCCTGCCACGCTTTGTGGGGGAAAAAAAAGGAAGTACGAAATATGGTCATTGTGACAAACGTTTTTTCATACATACACCATCAACACTGACAAAACGTTAATAACAAGTTGCACATAGTATTTTTTTTTTCTTTTTCACTGGGAAACCACTTTTCATGCTGTTTTCATCCAAAAGTGCTAAACGAACCTCGGAACATCCCCCAACTGTTGCTCCTCCACTTCTACAAATAAAGCCGACTCGCCGAAACACTTTGGCAACCTTTATCCAGACAAGGTTTCTTGAAGAACACAGCATGGACACACTGCTGTTTACTCGTCTGCTTTCTGAGTGATGGAAGAAGGAATTGAAGTAGAAGCTCAGCAGATTGTGTGCCACTCTACCCCTCGTTTCAGAAGACTCGAGAGCAGAGTCTCATCCCCGATATTAAGAGTCGGTCGAAAGCGACTCCCATAGAAATAAGCACGTGCGTAGCTATGTACATAATGCTAAAGTGGCTGGTGGCACAACACGACTTTACTTTCCCACCCTTTTCCCCCTTTTCTTTTTTTAGTTTCTTTTGAGTCCCTTGTTGTCCGCACGCGCAACTCCCCCACCTTGGGTCTTGTGCGCGCGGCGGCCGCAGTCACTTGGCGCTGAATGTCAGCACATACTTCACGGTGTACGCGAACGCTGCGAAGCCAACGATGACGAAAATGTTGGCAAGGGTGCTTCCCAAAAGGCCGTACCCTTGGTCGCCAAGGCTGCTGCCCGACAGGCTGCGCTCGGCCAGGTACGCGTTCTGCGCCTCCACTTCCGTTTTCCTCTTCTGTATCTGCTCCTTGATTTCCTGCACAAATGTTCAAATTAGCAGCGTCACCCTCCGAATTCCGGTTCATACCAAAACAAGAGAAGGAAACGTAACTAATGTTGGTGGGCGAGTTGGGTCAACGATTCTCGGCTCACATTGCAAGCACAATGTAAACGACGTGCAGAGAAAAGGCGTAGGCCCCACAAGCACTGGACTACAGTAGAAGTTATGGCAAGGCACAGCAAGCAAGACCCTTACAATGCCACACTTCTATGGTTATTGCCAGTTGAACCTTCGACTAAATGTACATCCTGATCAATGCCACTTGTTTTACTGGTATGGAAAGTACAATGCAAATCGTTAAATGAAAGACAATACCATATAAGAGAAAAATAAACATGCAAGCAATGGGACACCTTGGAACATGCAGTTTCCAAGTTTCATCACGTCTCAGAAGCAATGGAGATCGTGTGCAGCACTGTCACCTGTGAACGAATAAAGCACAATGATTCCATAAAGCCTTTTCATGATCATTCTTAAATGCCCTGCATATACACTATATATATATATATATGAAATGTCTTCCTGTAGCTAAAAAAGACACGATGATCCTACAGTCCCACCAAAAAGTGTTCTGGCATGCGAGCTTCAAACGGGGAGTGTAAAAGTGCTTTCAAAGGCCGACCTTCGTAGACACGTACCACATGCTGGATTTTCAATTTTTCACTTACTTTCAACCAGTACCGCAATCATGAACATTCTGTCAAACAACTGACCTCACAATGCCTCGTTTTTTTGTTTTTTTTTTCATTAAAACATTTCACTCAAGTGCAGAAGTGATGCATGGGATGCAAGAGAGTGATTACAACAATACATAGGTTCTGTACAAAAACCCCAGTGGGCCTTCGTTTACCTCAACCAGGTCGGGAAACAACTCGCAGAACATTTCATCTTTCAAGTTGAACTCTAGGCTCTCCCTCGCAAGTTGCCTCTTCTGCAATGAGAAAAAAATGTAGAAGGAACACAGCCAATTTCACCAGGCATCATTGTGTCATACATTACTGCACAACAAGCATGCGCTCTTTGATATCAAAAAAATAAGTAAGAAGAGGCTTGGCCGACTCACTTCTCTGTCGGTCGTGTCAATACTTCCCAACGTCGGGTTTTTTTCCACCTGCGAGCATTGACAAATGCAAGTAGGAGTCGGTCATCCAACATCACCGAAAGTAAACGTCAGGCACATTCCGCTAGCTGACCTAAGTCTCCCTTTCTTTTCGCTCCGCTGAAGCACGCGTTTTCCTGCAGTTACGCTTGTAAGAAAACTAGCAGTTTCACTGGGTAATTTGCGATTAGTTTCCTCTCTTGTTACCTCCATTCGCCAATGAAGCGCCTATTCAACTGTATTTCTCTAAATTAGACTTGTGCCAATAGTAAATTTTGGATTTAAAGCAAATTCGAAGTGCAATAGTGATTTGATCGAATAATTTTGAATCGAATACGAATTGTGTAATCACTTACTGTAAAGAAATATGAGTATATTGTTCATAACCGAACTAACCTACACAATATTTTTTTTTTTACTGAAACGAGGCATGTGCAAATTTCATTTCATTTTGGTTCAAAGAAAGTGGAAGCAACTTCGAATAGTAGCAGGATTTGAGTCTCAGTAGAATGCAAGTGATGACCTGTAAAATATGTTACATTTTAATGTTCACTATACCTGGAGCATAAAGCTGGTATAACAAGCTTTTGAACTTATAGAATGATGAATCGATGAGAAGGCAACGTGAACACTTAAGTGAGGCTTTGCGGCAGTGTGTATATCCCCTAGATAGGAGCGTTCACGGTACAACACCCTTTCGCTGCATTGAAACCACTTTATAGGAAAGGTTACATGCGGACACCTATTAGTTGATTTCGAATACTTCTAAATTTCCAGTAATTTTAATTTGCATCGAAACGATGTCGAATACCGTAATATTTGTACGAATATTCGAAGTAGTCGAAATGTTCGCACAAGCCTACCCAAAATGCATCAGCTAATGGTCACTGGATTAGTTCTGTACATGAGAAGATCCACTAAGCAATACAGAGCCCATTTCATATTGCTAATACACACTTAATGCATAGTATCTGACAGCTCACCGGGGGACTTAGGCCAACTACTCCAGAATGACCGGTAAAATTTGCCATAAGGGTACTGACAGTGCTACTTTGTTAATTAACATTGTCCTTTACCATGAAGCTTAGCAGCCCGGTGAGGATGGTGGCAACGGACCATGCGGGGTTCCAGCTGTCTGGATGGAAGTCCGAGATGCTGAGGCAGAGGCGAGTGTTGCACTTGAACCGGCCGCTGGGGGTGATCATCAAGATGCTGGGTGGCTTAAAGGGGAACTCGGCCGGGAACATGAGTTTCCCATGGTAGATGCCATCTGCGATGCAGTGAAAAGCCAAAACTGCATCTTCCCAAGGTAAAACATTTCCAAGGTAATGGAATAGAAGCTTGATCAAGTTGGTAGAGATGCATACATGTAAATGCATGCGCTTCATCCTGTTTAAGCTATAGAGAAAAAAAGTAGATGAGACGGGTGCCATGTGCAAGCCCCCCAAACTTTACCTAGATTCATGCAGATGCAACTCATTGTGGCACATACAGTAGAAGGGTAGCTACCTCTCATTTTCTAATGTGGAACGCTTTAGCTATTTCTCGCATGATTTGATGACAGTGTTACAAAAGAATCACTGTATACTTAAAAAGAAAAGACAAAGTCGCACTCACTGTATAGGCAAAAAGCATGCCCTTTTCGTCCACTCCTTTAGTCATTCATGCAAACATTGCGAAGCGTATTCATTTACAAATATGAATCCGAGGGTACAGTTCATAGTCCCCACGCCTATTTCGTGATGGGCCCTGTGTTCAAGACTGTCGCATGGTGAAGATTGCCAGCAGTTTATGCACACTCCCCCTCGAACTTGTGATGGGGGGGGAAGAAAGGTGGATCCACAGAGCAATATTTCACATTATGATTTAACAGTGGTCCAATGAGAGATGTCATCGAAGCCAACACTTTTACAATAAAACTTCTCGTGACAACGTTTACATGATTTGCTTTCACTCACACGCAATGAGGAAAGAGAACAAGCAGGTGCAAAATTGTACCATGAGAAGTCTCATGTAGAAACGTACAAAAACAGAGCATGTTCTCTCCCGACAATAAGGGAAAGAGGGGTGCTATACAAGATTACAACTTATGAAAAAACAGCTCCGCAGCTGAAACGTCAGCTCCGCCCACAAAACCGCCTGCCCTCTGCCTGTGAGAGACTGTCGCGCTAGCCAGTTTCCGCTTGAGCTGTAATTATTTCGCTTGGCTACTGCAAATAATACACATAATAAGAGTTAAAGATTGATCATTACTGCCTAAATAATGTATGGTTAAGCAGTACAGATGAAAAGCAACATCAATATGAAATTCACCTGGTAATTCAAGTTTCCCACCTGAAATGATGACACAAATGTGTGTCTGTATAGGGAAGTCAACTATCCAAAACGCTCGAGAAGTGCCTGAAGTCTACAAAATGAGTAGGCACTACTAGATGGAGCATTTACGGAAGTCCTCCGTGGGAGGGACAGTGATGGCTATGGGCAGAGCTGACACTTTTTCTTAGGTTGTAATTCAGAATAGCAAGACTGCTGCCATTTCATTTAGGACATCGCAAAGAACATTCGTATTTGTGGTAAATTATGCGAGCCAGAATGGTAGTTTCATGGTGGGGTTATAGTAATTGTTGGGATATTAAATACTGAAACCACACTATGATTACGAGTCATGCCACGGTCGAGGGCCCCGGAAATTTTGACCACCTGAGGTTCTTTAACATGCACCCAAATCTAAGTGCGCAGGCTATATTCCCCCTCCATCGAAAATGCGGCCGAGGCAGCAGGAATTTGATCCTGAGCTCGTGTGTCGTAAGCTCTGATCAAAGCGAGGTCTTTTGCTCAATGGGAGAGAGCGTCAGAGACATAGACCACATCCTAAGAACAAAACCCATAAACTACCTATTCAGTGTACAATTTCTCTGCAGTGTAACCTCAGGTGTAGCAACCGGCATAGACAGTGGAATGGGGGGGGGGTTAATTTTACGTGTGTGTGTATGTATATATATATACACGCAAAAATACAAATCTATGCACGAACATACATAAAGCATGGTTGAACCCTACCTCCAGAAAAAAATTTCTGGCTACGCTAATGGCTGTAGGCATGGCCTTTAACAGAAGCAGGCTTTCCTTTCAATATCTACACATACAATGCTTTGGCAACCTGAAATTTCTGTTAACTTGGGCATGTCTTAATATTCTGGCTTCCCAGCAACGTCATTGATGTGCATCGCATATAAACAAGCATAAGCTGCGAAAACTGAACAGCAGAGGAACAACACTCCCTTCTCGGTTCTATCAGTTCGATGAATAAAAGGAATTTTCACAAAGCCGATGTAACTAGAGAACAAAATTTTAAAAAAGAAAATATGTACAGATGTCCATAATTGCATGCAAAGGAGGCAAAATGAGCTTACCTTCGTATGGCGTGTTTTCTGGCCCTCGTACAACATAATGCCTGCAACAGAACATCGACACCTTAAAGCCACCGGGATGAATTTGCTGCGAAGCTCTAGGCAGCAATGTTCTATAGTGATGCGCAGTAGAGTTGAATTATAAAACTGGTTTATTTAAAGCTCTAGCGCTACATGACTGAGCAACGCCATATAAGCGTCGTACCGCACTGCAAGTCAAGCATCGGATCGAGCATTGAACATATCTCCCGAAAGAAGGGATAAAGGTGATCAGCTCAGATGAATTTGGATCCACCTTGATTTGGTAAAATCTAGAGTACGCATCGAGTTTTGAGATATACTTCACTCCTCCGAGAAGTCCCAACATGTTTCTACGCTTGGAATCGGAGATGTCCTTTGAGAACCCCTCTGTTAAGCATCGTGTAACCCAAGCAAAGCCTGACGCCGCCATTTTTTTGGGGGGGGGGGGTATGACGACTATTGGTGCGCACCAAGGAGACGGAGCTTGGACTTTCTGTCGCTCCTTGATTCTCCTGCTTTTTCAGCTCAGTCATAACGCTGTCATGCAGTGGAATGAGAATGGACCCCCGAAAAGTTACAGTGAAAAGCACAGCGTTTCGCCTCCATCTGATGGCGAAAGAATGCTCAATATCACCGAGGCCAGAGACGAGTTGCGAACACTTTACGAGTAGAGCTTCAGAGTTCTGTTTAAAGGAAAGATCGCTCACCCATCTCAATACGTCGAGCTTCTCTATTAGACCTAAGCCCAGAAATGGCTCACTGAGGTTTCAGAAATGTAGAATCTCTCCGAGGTGGTTGCTCCCCCGTAAACCACAGTTCTTGCAATCATCCCTAACACATGTAACTCTTCGTTAGTAGGCCCATAGAGTTTCTCACAAAATACTTCGAGGGAAGTAAGGCGCCACCATCTATGCGAATTTCTTGCTCTGTTGGAGCGCTGGGAATGATGGTATATGTGTCTGCGAGGCTTGTGTTGAGCGAGGCTTCGGCTCAAAAGCAAATACGACTGCGTAAATAAAGCTTCTCCAAAACAATACGTTTAAAAGTGGATCTCATTCAGCGTATTATATTCTAAACTAAAAGTCTACACACCTTGACAGCACAACCAATCAGCGGAAGAAAGAAATAAACAACATAAGAAGGGTGGAGGGAACGCTCGCTTTGTCATCTGCCTGCCAAGTTTAGTGGCCGTTGGTTACTTCTTACGCTTCCTAAAATTGTACAGCAGCAGCAGGTTCCAGTGTTAAATAAAACACGTTTCTGTGCAATGACAAAAATAAATAGCTTATTACGTGCTCTTTTAGTAAGAAATCAATCATTTTAACTTCAAGCCAGACGCCTCTTTGAGGTATACAAATCCGAGTCAATTTCAAAGCTCACATATCCCATCAATCTCTTGCATCTAGCAGCTCACTAGCGCCAGATTTCGTCCTAGGTAAGTTTGTGAGAAACTCTATGAGTAGGCTCGATGAGGAATTTGTAAGACTCAGGCAGTGCAGCTGATGAGCCGAGTTTGATATACGTATCCTCCGGCAGAGCATCAGTGTCCAATCGGAACTGCACCTTCTGTCCGTTGATGCATAAATGTTCACTCCGCGGGGTCTTTCCAATGCTTGTGATCGCTCCCAGGAAGCTCACACTTTCCGGAGACATGCTTGATTGTAGATGAAGTACACATAATGATCGGCACACAGTGGCAAAATGTACTTTTCCGTGGCACTTCTTGCAGTTCGCTTATTGACGCTGGACATCCTTTTCTGGGATGCGTTTCTTGTTTACCACATCAGCCCCATTAACGCCGAGCATGCGATTGCCAAACTGGTTTGAACCTGCTGTGGACATGTCGTAATTGGTTAGCTGTATGGAGAGAATCGATGGCAGCTATTGCTTCTGTGAAGCCCGCAGCATGAATATGTGGTTGCTGCTCAAGGACTTCTTTATACTGCTTAGCACAAACTGCTGCTTTCTCCAGTGTGAGGTCTTGTTCAAGCTGAAATTTCGTTGACAACTTTTGGTCACGCACGCCGATGACAATCTTGTCATAGAATAATTTGTCCTTTAAGTCGCTTAGTCGTACCGCTCGGCTAAAGTATGCAGGGCTGTGATGAAGTCTGTCATTGGTACACTTTTGTCTTGGATGCGGCGAATAAAGAGGCTCTCTCATATATGATGTCTTTCTTAACGATGAAGTGACTGTCGAGGGCTTCAATGAATTTGGCACACTTCTCCGCATTGATGGTTGTTAGACAAAGTGTCGTAAGGACGTCTTGAGCTTTGTCACCCATGATGTAGATCAATGAGTTGACTTAATAAGTGTTTGGTAGGTGATGAAGACTACAGGCGGTTCTGAATCACTCCCACCTTCACTTCAAGACATTCTATTGCTCAGCAATGAAGCTGAAGGCTTGAGAAAGTTGGAGTTGGATGCACTGATCCCTTTAATCTCTGGTTTCAGTCATGGCTGTAGTTATTGATGAGCAATTTTTTGGCAACATGAGGTATCACTGTTCAAACTTCTGACACCATAGTCTATAGTGATGCGCTGCAGAAATAATGAAACTGGTTTATTTGAAGCTCTAGCACTTCATGACTGCGCAACACGCTATATGCGTCATGTCGACCGCCATGCCAGTGGAGCATCCAATGCCCCCGAGTAGATCACGCGCTTCCTGGATACCGGATACCCTCGAAGCCCTGCTGCGTGAGACCCAAGCCCGTGAGTGTCGCTTTTTCCGTCTACATTCCGTCGCATAGCAACCACAGGGCATATTCGAGGGTTGTCCTCTGTTTGTGTCAGGCATAAGAGATGGTGCCAGTAAGCATGCGAAACAATGAGATGACTACCGCCACTGTACCAACACTATAAGCAACATTATAAGGTCAGTTAAGGATAGAGCAGAAACCACTGAAAGACAATTGTCTAATTGGCAATAGCTTCTCAATAGACCTGGGAAGATGTTCTGTTGGAGCCATTTATTAATTAGATCTATCAGTAAATGATGGTATTGGTTAGCTAGCTCCATTAGTAAAAGTTGAGTGTGTGTGAAGCATTGTTACACTGCCTTCAGAATTGGCCCAAATTAGGAAATTCGTTATAAACCACAGTGAATTCACCACCAGTGTAGAAGAGGGGAGATGGAGGCAGTATAGCTTCTCCTGAAAATTTTTCTGAAAAAAGTACAAAAAGGGTTTCAGTTGTTATTAGCATTCTATCGCATGGCCCGGCTATCACCATATGAATATTGCACGTTACTGGTCGCGTCAAACCAATCAAAAGCGAACGGTCTTCGTCGTCACGTCACATGACGTCACTACCCATAACAAAAAATAGCCCATGAGTGTCGCCGTAGTCCTAAATCACGGTAGTTTGTCCCGTGAATTTAAATTATAGCAGCTTCGATATCGGCGTTGCCGCTTGCGCAACGATATAGGCGCGTTCTACAGCTCCTGAAGAACTGATGAAAAATACATGCTCAAATTGTGTCGCAGGGCCCCTTTAAATGAAGTCTGACACAGGAACGCCACACGCGTTTCTTTGTGAGCAGGTTAATAGTGAATACACACGAACATCGTATTCCAACATGGCTCTCTTCAAAATACGCAAAATGAAGTTTTAATTAGGTGACAGCACTTGAGCAAGAAATGTCAAACAAAAGTCACGGCAAACACGGTCGTCTTTACAGGCGTTGTCGACATGCGAAGCACGTCGGTTGCTATAAACAGGCGCTTTCTCGACTGACTTCTTAAAAAGCCTGATTTACGACGGCCGTGCAATGTCCTGGCCGTGAAAGAAAAATGACAAAGTGACTTACCACTCGAGTATGTTTGATGGCAGGGGGTGAGCTATAATGTAGGGTACCGGATCCCTGACGAGCCGCAGATAATCTTGGCGAAGTCTTTGAGCAGCCGTGTTGTACTTCTTGTTCATCCCAGCTGTCGCGACCTGCGCAGGCCCAGTAAGCGCCTTTTGAGACGAAACAGATGTGCGGCCGCCGATTCTTTCTCATTTAACAAGACAAGGGCAATGCGCACAGGCGGTAACAGGCGAAAGACGCATCCGAATAGAAACAAGCGCGCTCAACACGGCAATAATCAGCGGCCAGTCGATGCAAAACTCGGGCAGTCAGATTTCCGGATTACCCCGCGCGCAGAAAGTAGTTGAACAGCACGAATTCCTCGACGCGGCCTGATTGTTGTTAGGAAGACGCAACCTCGGGGAGGTGAAGACGCCAACAGCAGTGCAGGCGCGTCAAGATACGCGACCTTTGACGAACGCGATCACGATTAATTATTGACGTCGAAAGACGCTTCCCTTTTACTTTTAAACTTCCGCTACGGTACACTCGGAACGCGCGGTGTCGCAACAAAATATCTCAGTGTAATCCGTGCGAAGGCTAAACGGGGCCAGTGAAAAATACGTGCACAGCCGTACCGAGCAATTTGTACGAAGCAGCTGAAGCTTAGGCGAAAGCAGGTGTCACTGATCACTGCGTCCCACGCTGGCACACTGCGTAGGTCTACACATCGAAGATGTTTTCGCGATGCCGTAGATCTGAGAACAAACGATTTACACGTCATGAAGTTTGACAAATGCACAGCAGCAGAAACGCAGCACACCGTACGCCATGTTCCGTAGCTAGTTGTCGAAAAGGCGGTTTCGCAAGGACGCCCCAGCAGTTAAAAAAATCAAAATACTAACATCACACGCACAAATTTTGCAAACAATTTTAATTTTATAAATAGACTTGCGGGGCGTTTATTTATGCTTAAATTTATCAATCATCATTACCACAATTGCGTTTTAATAATTCCTTTTCTTGTGTTTCGGTGGCTGTCGTACCAAGATGGCCGCTGCCAGCAGATGAGTGCACTGTCAGCTGCTTTGAAACTGTGGTGATTGATTTTGGAGTACTATAAATGTTCTCGGGTGCCATGTTAAAGTCTGTGGCCGCAGATATCTGTACTCGTGTCATTCCTGCATAAATAACGTAATTTTCGTACAAACACGAGGCGACACTCAATGGCATTAAAAAAAAGCAAGTCGACTCTGTGACCTGCTGAAGTTTCCAGCGTTGCGATCATGAAGTGTTTCCGAACGAAAACGGATCGCGACCCCTACAAACCACGCGCGCACCAGTTCTTCAATCTGTTTAGACCCTTTTGGTTCGTGCTCGGCATCGCCTGCGGCATCCTAGCATGGCGGTACCTCCGCCAGCGGTCGGGCCCGACGGAGAGCTCGGACCCCCACGACATCGCCGTCTTCAGAGACGACGTTTACGAAGGGGCTTTCCTCTTCGTCGCGGTGCTCTCGTATCAGCAGAACGAAGCCCTACGCAACACCGCTCGACGAACGTGGCTGAAGCGAAAGGTCAAGTTCGACCGTCATCGCTTTCCCCTAGTGTACCGCTTCTTCGTCGGCTCTCTGGGCGTATCGAAAGAGCAGCGAATCGCTCTGGAGCGCGAAGCGCTCGTTCATCGCGACTTGGTCCTCCTCGAAGGCGTGCCCGATTCCTTCGACAACCGGACGTTCAAGGTGCTGCAGGCGTTCCTGTGGGTGCACTCGAACTACAAGTGCAAGTTCTTGCTCAAGGTGAACGACAACTCGTTCGCGATGTTGGACCCCATCGTCTCGGAGCTGGGTGAAGGGCGGTTCGACCCGCGAAATAATTTGCTTCTGTGGGGATTCTTCGCGGCTCATGCGCCGGTGGTGCGAAGCGGCCCGTGGGCCGAGCCGGTGTGGTTTCTCAGCGACCGGTACCTGCCCTACCCGTGCGGCGGCGGCTATGTCCTCACCTGGATGGCGCTCGTCTACATCAGCCACATCTGGAAGCTCCTGGACCTGTACGCCAACGACGACGTTGCCGTGGGCGTCTGGTTGGCGCCGCTGGCGCTAAACAGGAGGCACGACCGTCGCTTCGACACCGAGCGCGAGTCGCGGGGCTGCTTCAACTCTTACCTGGTGACGCACCAACAGACGGCTGCCATGATGGAAGAGAAATACAAGAACCTGGTGGAACACGGCGTGCTGTGCAGAAAAGAGGTGCAACTCAGGATGTCGTACGAGTATGACCAGAATGCCCGACTGTCGCAGTGCTGCTTTCGCAACATCAGCGACATACGAATCCCGAACGGGAGGGAGAGAGAAAGGGAAAGGTGGGGAGGTTGATTAGGTTGCAAGTGGTTCGCTACCCTGCACAGAAGCCAAGGCTTGGAAACTGGAGAAATATTTTCGCACACCGAGCACTTCTACAGCATGCCGCCTTCCTCAACAGAAAGAGGGGTGCAGCTGATCAATTGTCATTGTGCTACGACTGCATGGCCCACTCTGAGCAGTACTTTTACAGCTGCAACATTGTGTGCGACTTCCTATGAAAACGAGTAGTAATAGGCCATGCAACTTAAGGGGAGATGTGATTTGGAAAGAAAGTAGCATTAGTTTGTAGCCCAGGGCAAGGAATTTTTTCTTCATGCTAATTTGAAATAAGGAATTAGTGTTATTCTCTACAAGGTAAGCTAGGTTCACCAAGTGTGTCTGTGTCAGTAATGCAGCCAACAACTACAGCTTTTGAAAGACATTTCTTACTTGTCAAGAATGCAGTTACTCAAAAGGCTTCACTGCATTTCTAATATCTGTGATATAAAGTAGGTCTTGAATAGTATTGTGATGGCAGTATGGCGTCAGCTGCGCATGTGTATTTAGAGATTTTACTAGGTGCTTTAAGAGTAATGTGGGTTTATATCACCGACAAGACACTCCAGAGACCATAATAACGTGGCATTGACCATACATCAGTTGAAGGCAGCTGGGCACTGTTTGATACGGTGTAATTAATTTGTACAAATTTTCTTGAGTGTGTACAAATCTTGAGCATGACCCTGCCAAGCACAAGCTGTCTTACTATACTGCGAGTGAGCATCATGCTGCGAGTGAGCATTATCCTTTCGACCGCGTTGGAATCGATTTATGTGGTCTCCTTCCGTACACTGCCACTGCAAATCGATGAATCATTGTCGCGGTCGACCATCTGACGAGGTATGCTGACACAGCTTCACTACCTACGGCTGGTGCACATGACGTAGCCAACTTCATCTTACGACACTTCGTACTGCGTCATGGGGCACCACGTGAACTGCTGAGTGATCGAGGGCGTGTCTTTTTATCCGAAGTTGTACAAGAACTCCTTCGGGCATGCCGCACGGTGCACCGCACCTCTACAGCCTACCACCCGCAGACCAACGGTCTAACTGAGCGCTTCAACCTAGGAGACATGCTCGCCATGTATGTAAATTCCGACCAATCGAACTGGGATGTTATTCTTCCATTTGTGACTTATGCGTACAACACCGCGATGCAGTCAACCACAGGCTTCTCGCCTTTCTTTCTTTTATATGGGCGTGAGCCATGCTCCACCCTTGACACCATTTTGCCGTATCGTCCAGACGTCTCAGAGTTCAACCCTCTCTCTGAAATTTTGCACCACGCTGAAGAGTGTCGTCAGTTGGCCCGATCATTCACCTCGGACAAGCAAGCACTTGAAAAAGACCGCCGCGACCAGCAAGTCAAAACTTTTGCCATGGGCTCGCTCGTCTGGCTCCGACTGCCCTTCCACTCCACAGATCTGTCCTCTAAGTTTGGCCCCAAGTTTCACGGTCCTTATCGCGTGGTCGAACATCGATCTCATGTAACATACGTGATCAAGCCGGTCACGCCATCTACAGACAGGCGACGCCTTGGTCATGAAACTGTCCACGTGAGTCGTCTCAAGCCCTATCACGACCCACTCCTACTCTCGTCACCTTGACTTGCCAGGATGGCCCGTCTTCGTCGCCGGGGTATTGTAGAGAGGAAGAAGATTATGTGCCGCAGTGGGTCACGCCTTTAGCGAGAAGAACCAAGCACGAGCGTTTGCCCCGAGTGCTGTGATTTCTGGGTCCGTTGCTGCCGCCCGCTTTCCGCATCAATAGACCTGCTGTGCAAGTACTACTTGCGCCAATAAACCCCGTTTCAAAGGTACTACTTTGAAGCAAAGATGTGCATCTGATATAGCCTCCTAGTCGCTTCATGTATTTGTTGCTCAAATCTGTCCATCGCATCTCGCACATAAGTGACCAGATCTTTACATAGTTACTGTATCTTTTCATGTAACTATTGAGTCAGTAAATCTGGTGATGTTCTGTGTTGGAAAATATCTTTCTCAATGAATTGTTATGCAAACATTATTTTGAACTGAGTGCTAATAGTCAGAGATCATCTAGAGCTACAGGCAAGTGCAGTCTATTGACTGAATGTTTGTTTGGGAAAGTAGTTGATATGAAAAAAAATAAGCTGTACAAGCAGAGCAAAGACAGTCCACTGTCTGATCTACAACAGGAATCTACAACAAACGCTATGAAATTCTCATCTTTTGTGAGGTGTAAGTTAAAATGGAATTATCCCACAGTAATAGGAAACATTCAAAAGCTTTAGAGAAAGGAAGGAAACTGTCCTAGTAAAGATGTAGCTATAAAATCTAAATCCTTTTTTTAAATTTTTAATAGAATAAATAATATGACATGTATTATCTCTATTTGAGCATGTCTGTTTGTTCATGCGTAGGTTAGTTGCTGTATGCATTCATCGATAGCAACATTGATTTTGTGGGGTTTAACGTCCCAAAACCACCATATGATTATGAGAGACGCCGTAGTGGAGGGCTCCGGAAATTTCGACCACCTGGGGTTCTTTAACGTGTGCCCAAATCTGAGCACACGGGCCTACAACATTTCCGCCTCCATCGGAAATGCAGCCGCCGCAGCCGGGAATCGAACCCGCGACTTGCGGGTCAGCAGCCGAGTACCTTAGCCACTAGACCACCACGGCGGGGCATCGATAGCAACATGTAATCATAGCATCTATTTATAGCAGTTGTGTAGCCATCCACCATCATGATCCGAGTAAAGCAGATAAGATACCCTGAAGCAGCGGACTATTGTGTTCAAAGTTGGAAACACCATTTTAGTCATGTTAGTAACGAGTTCCTTCTGGCAGTGACAAAGTGTGAATATTGTGCGTCATTACCTACCTTTAACAAAACAGTACAAATACAGATTTCAGATGCCGTAAATTCACAAGCAGACTGCAAGATCAAATATCTTATAAAATTTGCATGCACCAGATCATCAGTGTGCGTTGCATGGGCAAAGAACTGATAAAGGCGTACTGAATCAAAGTTATCAAGACTAGGTAACTCGGTATCTTGTAAGATAGAGTTTTGTGGAAATCCATACATAATCTACAAAAAATGAAGGCAAATATAGCCTTGAGCATGCCTCAAATTAATTTTGAAGCGTATGCCACACAAAATAGCACAAAACAAAGCGCCTTGAAACGTTGATGTGCTAATGTAAACAACCAACAACTGCTTTCATCACGAGTTTGCGTTGCCTACCATGTTCCTAGCGTGTGCTCTCTGTTGCAGTTGTCAATGTGGTGCTTATGCGCATTTGTTAGTGTGCGTGGCATGCATCACTGTATTTTGTGTTCATGTGGCAAGCTGTGTTTCCAAAAAACCATCCCGGTGCTGTGTCTCCTGGTGCTCTAAAAATGTCTGCAAATAATTAATCATCATGAACTAGAGCAGGTGAGGTTCCCAGTCACAGTGAGTGGGTCATTGGCTACTTGCTTATAGCTGCAGAAAAAAAAGACGAGATGCAAAATTTTTGTGTCAGTACTCATTCGGATGCCGGACCCATTCAGTGCAGTCTGTGTAAGAGCAATTCATGAGAAACAAGAGGAATCGAACAAGGTGCAAGAATAAGGATAGGGCCTTTCTAAAATTTACTAGCAAATAAAGGAAAGGTGCCCAGAAAGAATATCCTTTGTGTTAACGGGCGCCGGCTCGGGAGATCAGAATGCCCCCCTTAAACCACACCAGCACTTGCCCGCCACCCAAGCTACACCAGTGGTACCCCCATCCCCCCTCAGCCGCGATGGAAGACCAATTTGCACCCCCCCCCCAAGACAAAATCCTGCCAACGCCCATGTTTGTGCCTAAAAAAATTGCTAAACGTGGTCTCACGCATTCTGGCTGGTGTAATTTCCTTAGCTAAGTTTCCTTGTACCAAAAGAGAGAGATGGGCTAGTTAGTTTGCATTCAGCTGTCAGGTCAGTGCTCGTGTTGTCAAATCTTTCTGTGTCCTATTCCTTTCGCACTGTTCTAATATAAGTGTTCTTTCCCTGCATCCTTTGATTGCAATTCGATGATTTGTCTACCTTGCCTTAATTGTCTCGATTGTCATCCTTTTTGTATTATTCTAAAGTACAAAGCAACTTTTTCATATTTCACCATTGATGAATTTCGATGCCACATGTCAAGACAATCTGCCTAAGGTTTAGTGTGAAACCTTGTTTTTGGTGTTAGCTGCATCATGTGTGGTACAGAACAATCAAGTGAACAAATATTGATTTGCCCGCTGTGTTCAAAAGTGCTTTGTGCTGTTTATAGATTTTGTGTGTTCTATTGTAAGCAAGAGGGTTATGAAACATAGATGTACATGAAAAAAAATTATTTAACTGTGTGAAGAAAAACAAAAGTACTTTATGTAGTATGTGAATCTATTGTGATAAAAGATTAAGCAGTGACTATAGTGACAGGACTCGGCAAGTTTTCGTTCTCACACTTTCCTCTCCCCTTGCGGTGGGTGCAGGAGAAGGTAGCAGCGAGAGGGAGATGTGTTTTTTTTAGGGGGGGGGGGGTATAGGAAGAATTTTAAGCGATGTAAAAACGGGGGGGGGGGGGGGGGGGGGGGGGAGTGGGTTAATCTGTACTCAAAGCAAATGATGCCGAGGCACCTGAACTGAGGAGAGAGGCAATATTTTTTGCGAAAGCAGTTGACAAGAGAAGACGATTAAAGTAGCACACACGTTTACCTGGCCTCCTGCAATCATGGCAAGCACCAAGATTTTGTTCCCTTGTTTTGACATGTGGAGAAACTGAGTGTGTATGGTTTATTGTGTTGGCATTTGCCGCTTCCAAAGCCGATAAAGCGTTTTCATAACTACCAGTTATTATGAGTAGTTCTCTCAATAATGGGAAAGAACTTCTGAACCTTTTAAAGTCACTTAGGTGCTTTATGGGCACTTCTCTTCGACTGGCTGGACAAGCCCGAGGCCATTAGGATTTAAAAAAAAATTCTTTTTTTTTTAGTTTGTTTTTGTACAGTGAGTATATTGCTATCATTAAGTCAAAACAACCGAAATAAAGCACCTTTCAATTTTCGTGAATGAAACATGCTGGCACCTGGCAATTTCAAAAAAAGAAAAAAAAAACTCCACTAGCTGTTATCATCAAGTTGTCACAGTTACGCGAAAAGCCACGCCAAGACAGATATGCAGCCATTAGCAGCCGTAGATGTGCTTGAAAGTCCGCTCTCGGGCGCTGAGCTATGATAGATAGTCTACATGCCATTCGAATCATATAAATTCTGTGCTGGTGAAAAGGTATCCAGTTATAAGACATTAACATAGAAACATCACCGATTCATCTTCTTCCTGAATAATGCGCGAGCGACGGTTCGTACCTTCCGGATGAAAATGCGGCGCGGACGGACGGAGAGCTGAGTGCGAATGAAGTGAGCTGTCGCGCTGTTTAATTATTTTACAGCGCCGTCTGTTAAAAAAAACAACGTGACAGCTTGGCGGTGACCAAGCATCATTTATCTTTTGCAAACTAAGCAAGCAAGGCTCGTGCCTACCGTACCGAGCATTGAGAAGATGAAAGTACCACGTCAACTGTTACAAGCAATTCATAACTGAGGCACTATAACAAATCTCCATCGGAGCTTCTTATCGGAACTCAGCTCCTGCATGTTTTAAATGTATCGTCATGAACTCGCTTCGTGTGCGCGCCTTGCCCGGTCGTTTAGGTCAAAGAGAGCGCGCCTTCTTGGTGCGAGTGATTTGGTTCGTGCTTGGATTCGTTTTCGCGCTGTGGTGCTGCTACGACATGGCAGCGCGCTCCACGAAGCGTTGGGACAGCAGAGAGGGCGAGGCGTTTCTCTTCGTGGCGATACTGTCGTCCCACAAGACGGAGCATCTTCGAAACGCCGCGCGCCAGACTTGGTTGAAGCTGGCTGTCGCCTCCGAACGGCGCGTCGTCTACAAGTTCTTCGTGGCTGCAAAGGGGGTGCCGCGGAAGTGGGTCGAGAAGCTCCACCGAGAGCAGAGTCAGTTCAACGACGTGGTAGTCATCTACGAAGCCGCGGACACGTACGAGAAGTTAACGTCGAAGCTGGTATACAGCCTGCAGTGGGTCGTAAAGCACTACTACTTCGACTTCTTGCTGAAGCTGGACGACGATTCGTTCGCCAGAGTGGACGCCATCGCCGACGAGCTGGCACAGTGGAAGCAGGACCATCCGGGCCGGGAGCTCTACTGGGGCTACTTTGCCGGAAACGCGCCCGTCTTTACGTCCGGAAAGTGGGCCGAACGGACGTGGTACCTCAGAGACGGCTATTACCTGCCTTACGCGCGCGGCGGGGGATACGTTCTATCCCTTGGTGCAGCGAGACACGTCGGAACCATGGGCGTCATAATCTTCGAACAGTACTCCAGCGAAGACGTCTCGGTGGGCGTTTGGACGGCACCGCTGAGGCTGGAGCGCTGGCACGACCGTCGTTTCGACACGGAGTACCGCTCGCGCGGATGCTTCAACTCGTACCTGGTCACTCATAAGCAGACGGCATCTATGATGTACGAGATGTACAGAAACCTCCAACAGGACCGTAAACCTTGTCAGCGGGAAGCGAGGTGGAGGCTCTCGTACGAGTACAACTGGAGCGTCCCGCCTGCGCAGTGCTGCGTACGCAACATGACGGATGCGACTCTGAGGCGGCCCAGGACATTACGCTTGAGGCACAGTCTGTGATTCCACACGTGCTGAGCTTGTTCATTCGTAGTATTCGCTCCTAGTGTCCACGCAAACGCATAGAAAATGCACATAGTAGACGCCGATCTCACAAGCCAGGATTACATTTGCATCACCATGTGTGAGCGAATCTATACACGAGTGTCACTAGTTCCAAGATGTTTGCAAAGCCCGTTTAGGCAATGATTGTCGAAGATGGTGTTTTGTAATACTAGTCAGCTGATTCATATGGGTGTCAATGACTACTGTAACACAAGTTTTTAGCACTGTCCAAACATGACATAAGCCTGCAAATGCATAGAGCATACATTATTTTAGCACAACTCATACAGCCATTGCCGGTAAATGTTTGCAGGGTTGACATACGACAGAACAGCAAATGAAACATTCATTCAACATTTAGTTGCTTCAAGCGCAGCCGCGGTGACAACACTATCCTGCACAATAAATTATATGCCAGATCCATCCAGCATTTGGCAAATACAACCATTGCTACTATGAAAGCAAGAAAAAATGCTTCCTGCTGTAAACCAGTTTACCAAATGCCCATTGCTTATTGTGTGGACTTGTCACTTTTAATTATTTATTTATTACTAATACTTGAAACATTCTCCTAAAATTTCACTGCCTCTTAGTTACTGAATGAGTTTGTGAGTGCAAGTTTTCTAGCTCCTTCATTATGATGTGGCTTGTTATGTTATTGTGTATGTGTGGCGAATGCGATATCGTAGCCAATAACAAACAAGTAGATAAGACAAGAACAAGGTAAACATTATTAGTGGACGAACTACTTAGCAAGTTTTCCTAAAGATGCGTACAATGGATGCAGATTCTGAGATTTCATAGCTTAAAGTGAACAAATCTACGAGAACAAGCTGCGCTAAAAGAACAGTGTGTTCACAGTGCTGTGTGTGCATTCTAATTCAACGAAAGTAGTACAAGAAACATGTACATGAACTTTACTGAGATGGCCATTGACAAGAAATATGGCCACTAAGACAATGCCTTAAAAGCAGTTGGAGTTCCTTGTATGTGATAAAAAGTGAAAGCGTGTTGGTAGTTCATTTCCTTACCATCCATCTTCACATTGTGTAGCAACGGTTGCGTGGGTGGCTGGTTTTTCTACATGAAAGTAAATGCAGTATCTACTGTGCAAATGCAGCACAATAGTCTTCTTTCTGATGTTGAAGTCAGTCTTGAAAGTGTTGTTGAAGACTGCAGTCTCCTGGCCAGTCTTGGATGTTACTGGACTAGCTGTCGGCATCTGCAGCCATTAGTAGTAGGATTTTGCTTGCAAGTGAATCAGCTCACCCACTTCAGCTGCTTTAATGAATCAGGATAACATTTTCTGGACATTGTTGCCATGGTGATGCAAGCTGAAAACTGATTTCAAGGTGCAACGCTAAGCTTGCACCTAACATGGCACCTAGCTTATAACACTGTTAAAAATGTGAACAAGCCAGAGAATGCGCTAACTGCAGAAACACAATGTCAAATGCCAAAGATGGTCGTTACAAGAGGTTAATGACCTGGCATTCTCTGTCTACACAGCATGCAATGACTTTTCTTGCTTTTAAAACTGAGTTTATACATTGGAAATCAGCAGACACTACAAGTTATATTTTATTCTGAATTTCAAAGCATCAGTTGAATGCAATATTGTTACTCTGTGTTTGTTGTTTGTTGTTCGTAGCCATTTTTGCTTTTGTTGCTTTGTTTGAGCCTTTGAGAACATACATATTTTTGTCAATGTTTTTCTTCCTTCAAGATGGGCCAATCAGCCTACCTGACCATGTTTAGTCATAGCACTGATCAAACAAACAGTGTACATATGGCGATAAACTATTATACTCATCTTGCATATGCTTCTGCAATGTTTAGCTACTTGCATTTATATTCTACTTAGGCTTTAGCAGTCTCTACTCTGCCATGCACGATGCTGCTCTAACTTACCAACTTTAATTAAATGTGCTACATTTATAGAAAAGTAATGTTTCTAGTGATTACCTCTGTAATTTTTTTGCTTGTGGCTTTTTTATAACTAAAACATAAGTTAACCCCAATAGCTTTTGAAGTGATGGATTTTTGCAAGTTGGCTGCCACGTGAAAAAAAAAGTTATAGTTACCTACGAAGCAGGGTCCTTATTCACAAAAAACCTTTATGACAATAGTTTGCAATGACAGACTGTTGTTCTGGACATAGTTAGTAAAAACCAATGGGGAATGATCACTTCTGTGAATCGGCCCCCTCATCTTCTGGGCAGTTTAAGCAGGAAAGAAATTTATATGTATACTACTTCATAGTACTCTGAACGGATAACACCATTCCGAACATATTCCGGGCACTTTCAGCATTGTTACCTACAGTTTAGTGTGGTGTCTTTGCATGTTGCAGAGCTATAGTTGCAAAGGCGACCGATCAGTGATTGGCAGCAGTGGATTTCGAACCCACTACTTGCTAAAGTTGCGATGTAGTACTGCCAATTTCAAGCAGATTGTCCTGCTTTGTGTAGCTGACATTGAGCACAAGTTAAATAGCATACATTTTCTACTTATTAAAGTGTCTGTCTGCATATGAAAGCTGGTCAAGTAAATGTGTAGTGCAATGTTGTCCATGCAATTTGCTTAGAAACACAAGCCTTCCACGACACAACGCATTTTTTCGCATACAATCCATGTTTGCATTTTGGTCATGCCCACTTCCAGAGTCCCACTACAAGCCATGGAAAAATTAATATTTAAAGGAGGAACCCCGCATGCCGACACAAGCTGCTTTACTTGTGACACCATAAAGCCATGCTGTGAAGCCAACTTGCACACAGAAATTTGCATACAAGCTGCATTCAGGCATAAGCTCCAAATTTTCTTTATATTTCAAGCAGGTCATACGCAAGATAAGTGGTATTTGTGTCCAGGGTGTCGGGGGTCTTGATATTTAGTAAAAAAGTTACAATGGCTCTTATTTTGCTCCCTTTTTCCCTCCCCCACACCACATAAAGCCCTGCTCCCTTAAAGGTTGCAGAAGTAAGAATGAAAGGCTGAAATCAATATTTATATCCAGAGTGGTTCAAACCTTCAAAAGTGCTCTATGTTGGTACATCACCTCAACACACTCAAATATAAAGTGCATCTAGTTAAAACTTATTTCCCTCAAGTTTGTATCAAACATACCAATGCTTCTAAGTCAAAACTATGGTTGTCCCCTTTGGTCTGCCTGCAATTTTGGCAACTGACAACTGCAGATACCTTGTTTGCTATACGCTACATCTTGCTTGATGTGCATACTTTTCAAAATGCCATGTGAGCTTGCAGCTACATTAAGTGAAATTTTCACCTTTCACCAAATGATCAAATGGCCACATTATTTCTGCCCAATGTGCTTGCACCCATGTAACGTCTAACAATACGTGACATTCTCTTCAACAATTTTAGTGCGACTACATCAGTGAGAGTTTGGTTGGTTTCGGACTCCCGAAACAAACATTTTGAAGTAAATGACACATGAGACTTCTCGTTTACAAACATTTACTTCTCGTTGCACTCAAGTTGCCACTTACATGCGCGGCATACACGCAAAAACTGGGTTTCCTCTCTAAGCAATAGCCTTTTTTTTCTTAAGCCAGGCACAAACATGAATTCCGTTATCTAACACGTGGTACACCTATCTAAGTACAGAGAGGACAATTTTTCTTTTCTTTTAAGCACGGGAAGGAAATAACGAACAAACATTTTGAGTGTAAAGACCCCTCTTTCAAAATGAACGAATAAGAAAAAAAAACTGCACCATCAAGGCATGAGCTAGGCTTCCCACAGCCCTTCTGGCCAGACATATCACATTTCCTTTTTTTTCTAACAATAAGAGTAGGAAAATAACTCCTATATCTAGACTTCAAGGAAAAGCTAATAAGCAGCACGCGAGTTTTGTATACACCACAATATGTATATATATTTTTTATAAATATTTATAACTTATGTACAACAAACAACCATCCACAGATGGACTGGGTAGCAGGGAAGGAAGGGGGTTCTTTTTTTCTTCCTCTCTCTTTACAGTCTTAGCTGAACACTTGAGACGGGAAAACAGTTTTAAAGGAAGGAGACGACGTGGCCAAGACGGGGAGGAAAAATGGAATGTGCCTTGTAACTGCGCGTTCATTCGCATTCGCTGAAGGGTTGCCTTTGGTGGGCGTCGTGATGGCTCCTCAAAATTGAATCCAGGCCCCTTGACTTGGCGACTGCTGCGACGGCACGCTGCTGTTTGCCGGCGGTCTGCAAATTGTGAGAAAGCGAAGAGAGGGACGTGTGAAAAGAGGGTTCTTAACGGTTAAATATTGCAATCGTGTAGTCGGCTTGACTGCAGTGTAGGTGGTAGCACAGACGAACCTCTACATAGTTCACAATAGATGCAAAGCAAGCTTGTTGGTGGCACACCTTCAGTAAGTTTCTTTGTAGTGCACATACATTACAGGACAAAATGAAGGAACATATAGACGCATTGAGCGCTGTGTCCATCTATACGTGCCTTTATTTTGTCCTGTGTCGAATGTGTGCGACAAGCAAACGCTACAGTGATTACAAGTACGTTGAACACAAGTCTATTCAACTGTTGTACACATCAAACTGTGTAACACCACCTTGCAGAGCCGATGTACAGCAATATACAAAGCATCTATTGAAAACTTTCACTATAACTATAAATATATCTCCTCAGAAAGCTTTATGCGGCATAAAGTAACTGATGTCCCGGAAAAAATTCTACACTGTTTTAATGACCTTTTGGTGTGAATAACCTTTTCTTGTGTTATATTCAATACACATGTTTATTGTTACTAATATTGGTGGGAAGAGAATTGCTTTCTCTATGACCTAGTGCAATACACTGTATTAGACACAATAATAATTAGAGCTAACATACAATGATACCAAGGAAAGTATAAGAGATATTATCATTAGTCTGTTCTAATTGCTGGTGTGTCAAACAACGAAATACATCCCCTTAAATTTCCCCTTCTTTTCTACTACTATACACTTTAGAGTGACGAGTGTTCTGCTAATGGGGGCAAAAAGAAGAAAACAACATTTATTTGACCACCCAATTAGGGCAAACTTCTGAAAGATATCAAAGTGTTAGTGAGTTACACTGCAATACTCTCTCGTATTGTGGTTGGTAAAGCGTGCCAATGCCATATACGTCCAGTAGCTTGAGGCTTTTATATCTAATTATTGATTACCATACAATAACCTGCTTTGTGATATCCTTCAGGCATCACAGTGATGTCACCATGCCAAGTGCACATGTGCAAGTGCAACATCAGAATACGTATTCACCTCTAATTTGGTCATGCAGATATATATATTGCCGATTTTTGGATGAAACATTAATGCACTGGCATACCTTACAGGCTTGACCATCATATAAAGATAGTATTTTTGGCTAGAAAAAACAAAGATGCTAATAAGCATAGGATTCATATCAGCACAGCAAAAAGCAATAAAGCATTGGGCACACTCGAGCTGGCTCTCTTACAGAGGTGAATTACAGATACACCGCGGTGTTCCTGGCAAGGCTTGTACCAAACTCCAAAGCTGTCACCGCGTTTAAATGGCAAGTAAAGAAGCAGCTTGCTTACGTGACGGGAGCACTGGCAAAGTCGCCCCAGGGGTCGGCTGAGGTGACTGCTGCCGGTGCTACCGATGCCGCATTGCCGGACGGACCGTCCCCGGACAGAAGCGGAGGGGCACTCTCCTTCGGCGGACTCAGGTCCAACAAGTTCCCCACTCCTCCGGCAGCTGCAGGCTGGGAGGACGAGGAGGCAGGTGAGCAGGGGTTGCTGTTGCCCTCGGGCGTCTGAGCCGTGGCTGGACTCGACGGAGGCGGTCGGAGGCCACTGCTGAGCTGCGAGGTTGGCGGAGGCAATTTGACGCCTCCCGGTGGTGGCGGAAGCAAGCCAATGCCTCCTCCACCGCTGCCAGATGTGGGTGCCCTGGGTCTGCTTTTTCCCGAGCCAGATTTCTGCTAGGCATGAAGAAAAAACAAAGACGATGTGACTAGCTTCAAATGCTCGCTTCAACTCCTAGTTGAAGCCAGACTTGGCAAATTTCAGTATCTCTACAAATCCTCCGATTCAGTAAAGGTCGTTCAGACATCTGATATCTTTCAAGTTTAGGTCCTATCACAAACCAGACCGTAAGAAACATGACTGAAACATTGAGAGCCTTCCCACTGCCGTGAATATGGATGCCAGCGAGGTAAGCAACTGCTGCTTCACATAGTTTTCATAGCCATCATTTGCACTTCTGTTTGCAATTTGAATTTGAAACTGTTGAATTTGCAATTCCTTCTATTCTTCTATTCTTCCTCCGAGTGAATGACGCGCACCCACCCCATGGCAAGTCCAAGGGGCAACTGCTGATAGTAGTGCTAGCGCGATCTCTACGTCAGGAGACAAGGAGGCACAACGATTGGTGGGAAATGTTGCTGCCGTGTATCGCAACACTAGCGAAAGAGGCATCAGCAGTGATGAGGGGTACGGCAAAATAATTGTTCCGAGCGTAGTTTTGTCTGCGAATGCAATCTGCCAGAACCTAAGTCATATACAGCTTTGCTGTAAAACGAAATGAAAAGTGCTGTTACATCTTTAGCATGATAATGGGAAAGTAACAGTCTCTTGATGTTGTTGCATAAGCTGCCTTTCCTTGTTTTAACAGAGAACCAGGGGTCCACCATGGCTACAGCACCCATAGGCTATGCGCAACAGCCATGCGTAGACTAGCAGTGCGAGAATAAATGATAATTATGCCTATTGAGACAGACATTTTAATTACTCAACAATCATTTGTTTATAGTGGTATACCATATTCAGAATCTTCTCGCAACAAAAAGATCAGCCATTAGCTGCTTCAGTATAGTAATGTGTTAACGCTTTCATATGTCTGTGTTAGTCTGAGATTATTGCAGTTGCAAATCTGCACATGCTAAGGTACGATGCGAAACAGAGGTGAGAGCTAAAGCTTCAGACAAAGAAGTCAAACGGGGCGAGCGCGAGAACCCAGATTGTTACTACCATATACCTAAATAAGAAGTTGGCTATCCGTGCCGGCAGCCAGAGGCCCCTCTCTCTCTTCCTCATGTAACTGAAGTGCCCGCAACTTACACCAATGTTCATGTTGATCTTGATTGTTTGGCCTTCCTTGAAGCTGAGGTCCAAATGTGGCTGAGCGGGATCACTGCCGCCTTTTTCCAATTCCTCAGTCTTCTCCAACCACCTGAGTTATTCAACAATATGCCTATATAATGCACGATAGAACAAGCACTCTTTTAAAAATGTTTCATTTTTCAAGTGTACTAAATGAAAGTTAGAAATCTTATTCAGAAAGTGTCTTTTTTTTTCTGATTCCAAATATATATACACTCACTGAATGGTAAGTAGCTGTATCATGAAGATATTTATCATTTTTTTAGCACATACATTCAGTTTATCTCCTAAGGGACACCTCACTAATTTCGCTTCTTCAAACGCAAAAATAAAGGACATGGCCAGACTTCCAGACAGTTGTTCTCCTCAATGAAGCTATTCCTTTTTCCATAATCTTGTTCACCAAATTAGAATTTACTAATACTACAATTAGTAAAGAACCAAAATATTTGCTCAGTTCGGATTTCTTTATTTTACACCGAAATGTATTGAACATAAACGCTCTGGCAATCTGGTTCTGTGCTTTCTTTTTGCGCTTGTGAAAGCAAAGTTACTGTCTGATAAGCTTCGTAAGCCTCGAGTATGTGTATAAGAAAACTATCTGATGCAGCCTACCCTAAAGAACGATTATGGAGTATCATATTTCAAATCGGTGAAAAATGCCGAATATGAGTGGTAAAACTCATTCAGTTCACTTTAAAATAAAACAGCTTTAATAGTCACACCTTTTCTTTACTGTGGCATTAGGAAATGATATATCACATATATGTGACAGGAATGTTTTTAATAACACATGATAGATGAACACTACGTACTTGAAGTGGTCTTGAAGGGCAACATTCAGGTCGAACGAATCACCGCGGTCCGCGAAACCAATACCAATGAATGCTGCACGGCCTGCAAAGGGAAAGATCATCAATGAGAGTGCTTAAAATGACATGTACAAACTGAACCTTGCAGCGAATTCAATATGCCTGAGCCCAATAGCAAGCACAACAGAAGCCCACATATGAAGGGCCGCATCATCTGTGTCAAGGCAATCCATCCCTTATCGGCAATCCATGCACTCTTAAATATGCTGCAATAATGTACCCCTTCCCGAAAGTTTGTGAAACGTGATATTGCTGAGAAAACTATATTCCTGCTATGTCTGAGAACATAGCCTCCGAATATATGCCGCAGCTTGTAATAGTTATTGGGACCAACCCATACATGGCATAGCGTAAACTTTTGTGGTCGGGTGTACACCAGGATGTAATTCTGACTATGAAGAGAGTGCTGAAAAATATTCATGCACCACTCTTGTTTTCTTCATTGAAAATAGCTGCTGTCTTTTTAACAACGCTCTAATACTGGAATTCTCAAGACACAAGATATCAATTACATTATTTTTCAGGTTGGTAAATATATAATGCTTGCCAAATGGTATCATCCTGGTGTAATTGCATATGTGAATTGAATTAAATGAAAGTGTTACAGAAGCTTTTCGCCAACAGCTTTATTTTCGTGCAATGTATGTGCTTCATAAAGACTGGAAGTAAACAATTGCAATAATATAGCACAAGGCAATGCAACAAGTTTCACCAACTTCCATTTCTCCAAAGTTTTGAAAAATTTCTTTCCCCTTTCAAAAAATTGTCACAGGAGCATCGTACAAGTTTCAGGATGTAGTATCAATGATAGTGGTTGCTCAAACCTTTTTTATGAAAGCACAATTTTCAATCAAGCAATACAGCTGTGAAAACTGTTTTTCAGATACATGCAAAGAAAGTAGCGTACCGTTGTCATCTTGCAGCCTAATGACAAAGTAGCGGCTTGAATCCATCACCGCCTCTACTGCAATACCTGGGTACTTGTCTATTGGGCACTTGGCAAACAGTTCACCTGCGAGAGGATGTTTTTCGGCATGATGAGAAAAGAACGTCACCCGCAACAGCAAGTGAGTGTGGACTTCTTTGCATTCTCGATTATTGCTTGCGTAACCGCTGGGAGAAAAAAAAGTGAACGCAGAGAAGAGAAGGTTTACCGAAGCATGGTTCTATTCAAATCACAACTGTTGTTGAGAACAAAATATCACAGACAATGCAATGACTGAGAGCTTTTTCAAAGGACTTCATTCAATTGTGGCTGAAGATATAATTACAGCTATACCACTGGATTATTGCAAAATTGCATCTCACACAAAATAAGTTTGTTATATATAAAATTCCTTATAAAGGTTTATTTTTAACACTAATCTATTGCACGACTATATTTCCTTTACTTCGTTATAGCCAATATTTTGTTATATCTGGGTTAGTTATATCGAGGTTAGAGTATATATGCGAGCACCCATTTGGGCTTTAAATAAGCAATATCGAGCTTAACATTCATCTTGCCCTCCTTGTACATGTCTTGTTGGATTGACCGAAGGTTAATCAGCTTATCCGAATAAGACTTGCTGGTAAACTAAGTCATGTATGCTCACCCGAAATCTTGTCCTCGAGCTTCAGAATGCACTCCTTTCCTTTCACGACTAATCTCATTCGCCCTTTCCATTCTGGAGCGTCAAGTTTCCAGTCTGCAGCCCTGCGTGAAGTGAGATAATAAGTTTAAGGTCAGCGCATCAAACAAGGGCTTCTGAAGAAAACAGACACATGGCACTGACTTGGAACAACATTTAACAGTGAAGTTATAACCATATACATATGGTACAGAGGCATGCATAGAAGTGGGTGGTGTTATCAAAGACTATAAAACACAGACAACTGTGTCAAAGACTATAAAATCACAAATCACTTACTGCGTGGTCACTGAGCTCGAAGACAGTACAAAATTTAAAATTCATTGGGACACGCGATCTCTAGTGCGTGCAATATGCAATGTTTGCCTTAATCAAACACCCAATCTCGCTTTTTGCCACTCGTTAATATTGAAACTGTGCCTTCCCAGAACATGCACTGAGCTTGAAATCATATGGCTTCCTTTTGTGTAAAACAGATTTTTTCTTCAATTTTCCAGTACACTGAATTTGGGTCAACATGCAATTTAAAAATTTTAACTTGATTTTGGAAGTTATCAACGGAGGTGTAAGGTGAAAGAACACAGAAGCCTTTTCTTTTTCCACTGCACGTGCAAAGACCACGATATGATACGAGATGCGCGGTATCAGGCGGCTGCGGTTGTATTTTGACAACCTGGTGTTCTTCACCGTGCGCCAGCACATTCAGCTGCATCTACAAGTGCTGTGCACATAACTCAAGCAACGCTCCGATCTTTTCTTTTGCAACTTTTTCGCGACGCTTTGCGATTGCTGTACAGCGGATTCTCCTGCACCTAGTGCCGCAAGGTAAGATGATGTTTCCTCCAATCCACGCTTTCGCGGGGCAATTTTAGAGGGCACAGTGCGAGCTTAATGCTCAGGCATACGCAGTGCGGAGTTGTGCTCCTGATTTTCAGTAAACAAACAAACGCATCCGGTGGGCGGATCGGAAATGTCAGCACGCCGTCTTCCCCCCCTCTACCGCCTGGCATTGTTCGGAATAGGCAAGTAGTTCAACACACAAGGTCAACAAGCTATACACGGACAGGGCGGTGCCACAACAAGGAAAGACTTCAACCAAAAGAGCTTCTTTCCGGAAAAATAATTTGCGGGCGGCTGGAGTACCGCATAACCGACGCAATGCCTGCAGTGTGGCAGTTTAGTGAACTTCCAGAGAACAGCGACGAAGTGCTTCGTTAATTCGCATTTCGCTCTGAATCGCACAATGTGTGGATGAAGCCACAATAGCGAGCAACCGTTTGTATTGAACGAGCACACTTATTGCAAAACATATATCTGTCCACGAAGCCGAAAAAAAATACACCCACAAGTGCTGCCCGCAACTAGGCGTGCTGACAACGCGCTCTCACTTATCAAGCTCAGTCCGTCACGAAACGGACGTGCGTGACTAAAGGATGCGCTAAACTGACCTGTAACCTCTGTTTGTCGTCCTTGGTGGTATTTTGTAGACGAAAACTTCGTTTTTAACGAGCAAGACGCTTTCGTAGTCTTCCATACTGTCAGCGATGGCAGTGGCGCCTGGCGGTGCGTCATACGTACTATGTAGAACGAGAAAAGCGGCAAATTGAGAACTACAACACTAGGCACCCTAACAACGATGTGAGTCATTCATTATTGGGCACCAAAAGTATTTGTTCCGCTGATCACCCGACAGATACAACCACAGATAGATGCATTCACCGGAGAAAGAGGGAGTGAGTATTTTGTTTTACAGAAATCGTGAAAGTTTCGCGCGTGCCGCAAGGGTGACTCAATGAATGCGGCAGCAACAAATTGGATAAATCCCGTTGTCGGGCTAGTTGATTTGGAAGTTGCTGAAAAATACCACCCAGGACAACAAACAGAGGTTACAAGTCATTTTCGTGCATCCAAAATATGCACGTTCTTAACGGCCTTCGCGCGATAAGTTGCGAATAGTGAGAGAGCGCTGTGAGCACGGCTATTTGCGAACAGTGCGTGTCGTGCGTTCGTTGCGGTCTCCTCGTACGAACGAACGCTCAAGCACCGTCCGCAATAAAAGGGGCATGCGAGAGGTTAGCGATGTGCAAGGTTACAAAACCGTAACGCAAATAGTAAGTGCGACATGTGGACATAAACACAGCGCTACACCCCCCCCCCCCCCCCCCACCTTTTTTTTCTACGTCGTTACTTGTCTAGTCGGGCTTACACATGTTTTTTTTTTTTTTTTCATTGGACAGCTGTGGGAGTTTTTCTGTATCTCGTTGACTACTTCTCTACGTGTCTATAAAATTTTCTCTCTTTCTTTCTATTTCTCTTTCTCCTTCGCTTGATCTCCTTTTTTCTCTCTCTGTACTTGTTCTCTGGCCACTGTACTTGTTCTCTCGCTTTGCTTTTTATTTCTTTCCTTTCTCTATCCCTCACTGCCTCTGATGCTGATGCTGATGACCTGTGATGGATGGCGCTTACCCACAAAGGGGGATGGGCCAAGAACCGGGCGGCAGGATACTTAAATGAAACTAAACTAAAAATGAAGCCAATCTGAAAAAGTAGCATAAAATAATACTACCAGAAAAACAAAAATGTGTGCTGAGCAAGCGGTCAAACCATCTTTTGTTTTTGAAAGACATTCCTATGAATTATAAACTAAAGATCTGAAAAGGTAGTGGTTCACTAGCATGGTAATCTTTTAGTTGCGTTGATGTAGTCAAACACAGCGGAGCATACATCCCTGTGGCAGTAACCAAATGAAGCTCCGCCAAGTGATAAAATTACTGGTAAATTTACTTGTATTCCTAGCTTTTGTAATGGGGCTACTAAAAATCTTTTTCTCTGATAAGAATAACGATGACAGAATAAAAAGAAATGTTCAATTGTTTCAATTTCGTTGCACCAAATACATAGCGGTGACGCCTTGAGCTGAGCTTTATTAAGGTAATAATTTAGTTGTGGAACTGCACAGCGCAATCTGGTATAAGTGACCTCTAACTGGCGAGATAAACACCACTGTTTATTCCAGCAATAGCTCAAATGCTCGAAATCTTTGAAGTTATCCAAATTACCTTTTCCCCATTGCAGGCAAGCATTTCGGAACCTTAGCGCGGTTACGTAAGCCGTATCTGGCAAAACTGGAATGGTGGGCCCACCCAGGGATACTGCTGCTAAAGAGTCCGCCATTTCGTTCAAATATAATCCGCGGTGGCCTGGTACCCATAGCAAATGCAGTTTTTTTTTACGTTTTTCGGTACTAAATGCCGAAATGTATTCATCAGCTCTGAATTTACTGCCGCAGAAAGTGCATTACAAACTGATAACGAATCTGTAATGATCACTGCTAATGATTCGCTTGAGGGTAATTTGCGTAGGGCAAGAACAATGGCCAATAATTCTGCCATGAATACCGGGGTATAATCTGGGAGTCGAATCGAAAAGGACCAGTCCAAAGAAGGAGAGAAGATGCCAACCCCAGCCTTTTCTTTTGACACAGATGCATCAGTCGCTATGATATTGCTTATCTCTAGGTGGGCTAGATAATCTGCTAACTGGTCATTTAAATACCTATATGCCAATTGTTTCGCGTTATGAGGAAATATATCATCGAATTGTATGCTAAGCATTGACTTTAGAGTGTGTATTGGACGAATATGTCTAATTTTTACATTCAGTTGCTTTAGTAGCGCTTGTGCAAATACTATTTGCGGGGTGTGTAGTCGCGACCAATGGGTTTCGAAAAATAAAGTCGGTTCTTGAATGAAAGCGTAAAATGAGAGTCTTTGGTGTGAACTGTATATCTTTAAGAATGCTTGCACAGTAAGAATTTTAAACCTATTTAGCAGAGAAGGTAGGCGAGCTTCCATATACAACACGTTGTTTGCAACAAACTTTGGTAGACCCAGACACAAACGCAACGCTTCTCTTTCCAGCAGTATTAGGGGTCTCACTTTATAGGCTGCGCTGCCAGAAAATAATACGCATCCGAATTCTATGATGGGCCGCACATAAAGTTTATATATCATTATTAGCACATCTCTTCTTAAACCCGCTTTACGGTTTGAAGCTTCCGTAGCCACCCCATGGCCCGTGTTGCCTTGGAGTACACATCATCAATGTGACTTCTCCAATTTAATGTGTCATTATATATGATGCCCAAATATTTAAGGGAATTCGCCTGCGGAATGAGCTCATTACTGTACATTAACGAGATGTTGATAGGCTGCAGAAAAGAGAATGCAAGGAGCACACTTTTCTTTACGTTCAGGGTCATATTAATATTTTTAAGCCATCTTTCTATCATATTGAGATAATTTTGTAGACTGTGGTATAATGATTGAAGGTCGGTATTACTTGCGAAGAAAGCAATATCGTCCGCGTACACATATAACTGAATATCCTTAGCTGATGGAATGGAGCTTAAGAAAATGTTAAATAAAACTGGCGACAGGACAGCCCCCTGTGGTACGCCACGTGTCTGCTTATATCTATTCGATGAGTACCCATCTTTAAAGCAGTAATATTCTCTCCCTCTTAAAACTCCGACACCCACGCAGTGATGTAGTTGGGAAAGTGGTGATATTCCATCTGTTTTAATAAAATTGAATGCTCAACCCTATCGTACGCTTTAGCCAAATCTAAAGTAACTAAAGCACAGTATTGGCGCCGATGCCGAGCCAGTTGTATTCGGCTCTCTAAATCAACATGCGCACTCTATTTGTAGCTTTGTCTTTCTATCTTTTTTTTTTCTTTTTTCTCTTACTTTTTCTCACTCTCTCTTCTCGTTGTATCGCCTTCTGTCTTTGCTCTCTTTCGTTATCTCTATTTCTTTCCCTCTCTGTTCTTTCTCTCTCCATTAAGAGTTATTGCATTCACCGCCGTACAAGTCGGCGCACTTGTTCCAGGAGCGAATCTGAAGAGGATGCAGATGAGAAAAGGGCGAGGAGACCGCGTTCCGGTTTATGATGATGATGATAGTTTTCGGATTCAGCAGACGCGCATTACGCTCGGCCTGAACAGCTCCGCTGTAAAATAAATATAGGAATGCTATACAAGCTCAGGCTAGCAGGGACCTATTGATTCCCTGTAGGATCTGATCTGCCGTAACTCTTGACACAAAACGTTCGCGTGAATGCGGAAGTGGCTGGAGTGAGACGCTGTGCGGACGTGTTTCGCATGAGCTCCGGCCCGGTGACCGACTATCGGCGGACGCGCTTTTTTCTGGACTTGCTGTCAGGGGCTCGTCTGCAGGAGGTTGCCCTGTACCTACGGACACCACTGTTTTAGGCAAGTTTGTCCCCGTTTTTGGAGTTTCCGAGATTTTCCTATCAACCCCGCGGTGGCAAGGCTAGGCCTATCTCCTAGGCCAAGCCTGGCCTGGGCCGCGTCGCCCGGCGTCTGACTTGCGCCCGGTGACCGTGGGTCTTGTTGGACTGAAGATGGAGTACTACGTCGAAGGGGAGACTATAACACCCGAAGATTTGAAGCGGGAGAGTGGGCTCCAGTGCTGAAGGCACAGGACCGATTTAAGAAGACTCGGCATGGCGACAACGCCAAGAGTAAGCCTTGCGAGACGCAGGCCGGCAGCGACGGGCGCAAGACGCACGGAGCGCAGCAAGTCAAGCGGGGGAAAGCACCGGTATGGAAGAAACGCGGACCGTTTCTCAAGTTGCCAGCAACGGATTTCAAGATTGTGTACAGGCCCCAGAACTTGGACTTGAGTGTTGTGACAGCGAGAGAACTCGGATGTGCACTGAGAGCAGCAGCGCGTCTAACGAGTGCGATTGCCGCGGAAGAAGACATTGTGCGGGTTAATGGCACAAACAACATGTTGACGGTGAGCACACCGTGCATAAATCGCAGTGGGGCATATGCGACTGTGAAGACGCTCAAGCTGGGTGATCGTGACCTGCCGGTTTCGGCGTTCGTGGCGCCGTTGGAGAACTCCGTGCGGGGAGTGATTTATAATGCTTATGATGGATGCCCAGTGGAAGAAGTTTCGGGCGGGATTCCTGAAGAAGAATGAAGGCATAGACATTCTGGACGCGAGACCTCTGGGAAAGTCAAAGGCGATTCAGATTACGTTCGGGGGAAAAACCGCATACCCCGGCAGATTACTTACTGGAACTGTCTGTACGCTGTGATTCCGTACAGAAATTTAGTCGAGACCTGCGTCAACTGCAGCCGAGTTGGACATCGAGCGGACGTTTGCTATCGTCCGAAGAGCAACCTAGTCACCGTTGCGGGAAGGACCATCCTGCCCCGCCAGAAGGAGAGCCACCTACGTGCACGCCGGTCTGCATCGTGTGCCATGGTGCGCATCACACAGGGAGCCGGAACTGCAAGTTTCGCCTGGCTCGCAAGCCACCGACAGGCCGGCAGCAGAGCATCGAAAGAGGGAGCGAAGCTGGCAACGATAAGCGTTCCTCGAGGGCCGCGGAGCGGTCACCGAGGGGTAAAGAAGGCAGAAGCAAAAGCAGGGACCGGTCGAGTTCCTTCCCGCCATTGCCAGGGCGCGGGGCGGCCAAGATGGTGGACGAGCATCCAGTACCAACAGCTGCGCACGCGACACCAACAAA